ACCATGCTGTTTTTTATCACAGTAGCTTTGTAGTATAGTTTCAAGTTGGGGATTGTGATACCCCCAGCCATGTCTCTGTTGCATAGAATTGCTTTTGCTATTCTAGATCTCTTCTGGTTCCAAATGAATTTTTTTGGATTGTTTTCTCTAGTTCTGTGAAGTATATTGTTGGAATTTCAATCGGCATTGCATTAAATCTATATAGTAGTTTTGGAAGTATGGACAGTTTCACTGTACTGGTTCTTCCTACCCAGCAGGAAGGGGGATGTCTTTCCATTTTCTTATATCCTCCTCGATCTCCTTTTTCAGAGTGCTGTAGTTTTCAGTGTAGAGGTCTTTTGCTTCCTTTGTTAGATTAATTCCTAGATATTTCATTTTTTGGATGCTGTTGTAAAAGGAATTGTTTCCCTAATTTCTCAGTGACTCTGTTATTTGTGTATAGGAAGGCTATTGTTTTTTGTTCTGTTTTGTTTTGTTCTTTGGTACTGGGGATCGAACTCAGGACCTTGTGCTTGCGAGGCAGGTGGCAGAACCACTGAGCTAAAATTCCGGGCCCCTAATTGAAATGTTTGATAGAAACATAGAAAGTGGGCATCTGAGACACATTATGACTTACATAAGTTCCACTTTGAATAGGAATAAGCAATTATTTACCTAAATACTTTGAATATTCCTTTGCCCTTAGCACCTGGCTGCTGTGGAAGAAAGAAAGATCAAGTCTCTGGTAGCTCTGCTGGTTGAGACACAAATGAAGAAACTAGAGATCAAACTTCGTCATTTTGAGGAGCTTGAAACTATCATGGACAGAGAGAAAGAGGCTGTAAGTAAGGGGCATTCCACTGTGGTATTTTAGCATTAAAACCTGCCACTTTCAAAAAGGCAAGTTAAATAATAAAAATGATGGCCTACTCCATGGGTCTCTGTAGCTCTTATGTTATTTTGTCTGATTTGTCTTTTCCAAAGGATTATCACCCAGTGATTATAAAGAAAAGGAACTATTTATTTTATTATTTTTTTTAAGGTAGCAATGTTTTCCATTTACTAAAAGTGGGAAAAGAAAATGCTCTGCAGAGTGAATGCTGGGCAATTAAAGTAGGGAAAGAAGTGTACTCTGCAGGGATAGAGGAGGCCACTGAAGCAGCTCACAGTGGCCCCAAGGCCGATGACTGCCATCTTTGTTACCCGCCATTCTGACTTCAGGTCTAGGTTATCCTGTCAAAAACCTGCTTGACTTCAGGCCAAGTCAAGGAATTGAAGGTAGCACTTTCTGATCTGGTAACAGGTACTGGGTTTGGAAACTTTTTCTGGGCATGTGTCATGGATCTCCTTGATTGGCAGGCCACACCCATTTGCAAAGCCAGCTGGCCACACCTTAGTCTCCTGCCTCATTTCCCCCAAGAAACTCCAATCCCCATAATGCTTTCTGGGCTGTTGAGGATGTGGGGGCCTCTGTCTTCATTTACCTGTCTGTGGCTAAAAGGAGCTGTAGACCCTACTCACTGGGGATTATGTTCTCCAACTACTTTGGGATGTTGTAGCTTACTGGCTAGGTTGAAAAAAGTTTTAAAAAACCTGGAGCAGTACTGGAGTAATATATTTTGAAGAGGAGCCCCAGATCTATCAGAGGTTCACAGGAGTAGCTTTCTTCTTTTTGGTGCTCTTTTTCCTTAGTACAGGTGGGGCTGGCTTTATCCCGACATCCAGGATCACCCAGGGTTCTTTATAGCACATGGAGATGTCTGTGGACAGGGCCATTGCAGATTGCTGTGGGCCCTACCTTCCTCTTTATCTGAGCAGGAGGTAAGGGTTCTGACTGGCCTAGCCCGTCTCCCGGAGCAGGGACAGTCAGTCCTCCAGTGCCACAAGTCAGGCACATTGGCTGCCTGATGCAGCAGGGTCCAGGCAGTGGCTTGGTGTACTTGCTTCCCTGGTGTCCAGTTTCCTTGGATTCAAAACAAGAACTCTTTCCCTGATTGGCCTTGGGTTTTCCTTTGAACTACTTGGATGTGTTTACAGCATTGCCAGTTATGACAGCCATAATTTTGCCTCCCCACCTTTTTTCAGTCGGTCTCCTTTCATCCTCATCTAGATCCTAGTTGTTGGACACAGAAAAGCCTGTGTCCAGCAGTTGGATCATAGGGTTCTGGGGTGCAGCAAGTGACTAAGACAAATTAGGCATCTCTCCACAATAGGCAAAAAGCAAAGATCAAACTTTGAAACCCATATGCAACCCATGATCTTTTGAAAATCAGCCTAACCATTGCTTACATTATTCAGTATCTGCCACTAAAAAAGGACTCAGGTGGTGCTCTCTACTCGTGGGACCTCTCTAGGGGTAGGGTGAGCTGTGAGTTAGAAGAGTAAGAAGCCTCGTTAGGTTCTTCTAAATCATTCTGTAAGAGCGGCCTTTTTGCATTGTTCATCTGTTTCATGGTGCCCAGTCCAGCCCCATCCTCTGGGCTGTTTTTCATGGAGCAATCCAGTAACTCACCATAGTCCATTTCCATTTAGTCCCGAGACCAGCTGAGTATGCATTGCCCGTTGCCGCCCCAAACTCCTGGGCTTTAATCCTACTACTTGGGAGACTGAAATAGGAAGATCATGAGTTCCAGGCCAGCCTGGGCTATGTAGTGAATTTGAGGCCAGTCTGGACTTCATGGTAAGACTCTCTCCAAAATGAAACCCCCCCGGGCTCAGGTGACTTCAGCTTCAGCCTCTGGGTAGCTGGAATTGTAGGTAAGCACTCCTGAAACTGGCCTTGTCTCCTTTTTTTTTTTTGAACCAGGGATCGAACTTGGGTCCTTACACCTGTGGTGAAACCACTGAGCTAAATCCCCAGCCCCTGTCTCCATTTTTTTTTAAGAGTTAAATTCTTTTTTTTTTTTTTGGTGCCGGGGATGCACTTGAGCGGCGGGCGGTGGAACTACTGAGCTAATCCCCGGCCCATAAGGGTTAAATTCTAACCAGCATCTGCAAAATATTTTACAAGATAGTTTCTGAATAAATACAACTGAAAATGGGAAAATACCAAGTACCCAACATACAAGGCTGCTATGCTTGAATTCTTTGGTAGTCCGCCTCCCTTTCTCTCTCTCTCTCTCTCTCTCTCTCTCTCTCTCTCTCTCTCTCTCTCTCTCTCTCCCTCTCTCCCTCCCTTTCT